ATACTCCCTTTTCCAACGTGACCAAACTGCTCTGCCAGGTATTGCACCTGCCGCCATCTTTTCCGTGCATAAATGTCTTCCTTGATGAATTTACCTGGAGGGGGAAGGGCTGCCTTTGACTTCATGGTGAGGAGGTGATATGGGGTCAATGGCTCTGAGCTGTTTGAGGAAGAGAAGGAAGCATCATCCAGCCTTCCTCCCACCTGAAGGAGTCCATCACTGTCAAGAAAAGTGTCCATTCGAAACAGCTTGCTTTTGTGAGGAAGTGCCCTTCCATGTTTAAGCATTTTTATCTCCTCTGCATATTCATTTGCTTGTACATCCTTTAGAATAACACATTTAGCGTTTTGTCTTTCTTGTACTGTGCTATGACCTGTTGTTTTATTTCTTTTGGCACAGCGAATTAGTCGAGCAATGGCTTGAGTGGCTTTGTACCAAGAAGAAAACTTTGTTAACTTGTCTGCCAAACTTTTCTTCTCTGTTTTGAAAGTGTTCAATGCATGTGCCCTTTTAACCTCTGGATCTCCAAGTGGTAAGTTCATGTCGATCCTTTCAGCTGGAGGGATTTCCTTGTCCCAGAAACTGTGGCCCTTTGAACCAGTCTGATGACATGAGCTCACTTGCACTTGAACCTCTGGATGCAATATCTGCTGGATTTTGCTCAGAAGTATCAAAGACTACTCTGAGTTCGTCTGGTTCTTGAGGATGACACATTCCGTGATGGGAATACACACCTTTCTCCTTCTTTTGCTTCGCTGTGAACTTCCTCTGCATCACCCTTCTCTATGACTTCGCTCATAAACTTTACATATTGATCCTTGTATCTTTGGTCCTTTGACAGTTTGTTTTTGAGGCTTTGAAGTCGTACAGTGGCCATTTGCTTATTGTCTGGTAACAGAGGTCTCTCCTTAAATGGAAGTGGCATTTCATAATGTCCTTCATTGTTTTTATAAATGCCTTCCTTTAGTATATTCAGAAAGAGAATATCATCTTGAGACACTGATTTGTTATCCTTGTTATCATCCTTAAAGTCAGACTCAAGAACCTCTGGTGCATCAGTGGGAGTCATTAAAGGGAGCTCTTTGACTGTGACTCTGTGGCATACAGTAGACATGTTAAAAGAATCATTGTGAGACAATGTGGGGCCTACAATACTCCAGCCCAATGCTGTGCAGACAGCATAGGGTTCACCTTCTCCTCCTAAGATGACCTGCCTTGGAGCTAATGCCTTGGAACAGCTGTAGCCAATTAAAAGCCCAACTTCACATTCTAGCTGTGGTGGAATCTCATTCACTATTTCCTTGAGATGATTCCATTGCCTTCCGTTTCACAGGAAGGAATGTGAGAGCGATTAACTGGTATACAGTCTTTAGTGTAAGCAGGAGGGAGTTCAATTATTTCAGAGGAGTTGTAGCCTCTCACTTTGAGACCTGAGACACGCTCACTTGACACAACTGCATTTTTACCAAGCATTGTGGTGAGTCTTAATCTTATTGGGGTTGACTTAGCCTTGAGATTGTTAGAAACGTCTTGGTCAATGAACACTGTGTCACTTTGGGTGTCTAAGAGTGCATAAACAAGCCTTTCATTACCTGGTTGTTGCTCTGAAGAACCATACTGGCACAATCATTGAAGTGCTTACACATTGTTCGTTGGATTCTGCATTAAGAGACAAGGTTGTTGCAGCTTGTTCTGTGCTCGTTTGAACTTGGTTTGTTTGTGATTTGTCGCTGTCATAGTTAAAGTCATGAAGACATGTTGGGTGTTTTTTCTTGCATATTTCACATGCAAGTCTGTAACGACAGTCCTTTGCGCTGTGTCCAGGTTTCAGACAACCGTAACAAAGTCTTTCATCCTTTATGTATTTTCTTCGTTCCTCAAGTGATTTTCCTTTGAATTGAGGACAACTATGAAGCTTGTGTCCGTTATCTTGACAGAGCATGCATGGTGGTTTAATATTTGACCTTTGTTTTTTTTCCGTTTCTGTTAAAACCTGTGTATGGAGAACACTGGTTGGGCCTTTTTTCTTTCTGATAAGCTTTACTGGTGATTTTGGTGAAGTCTGTTGAGTGGAGAGCCTGAAAAGATGTGATTGGATTGCACATAATCTCAGCTTCAGAAGACATGAACTCAGTAAAGTGTTTTAAACTTGGAAACTTCCCATTTTCTTTCATGTACTGAGTAGTTTGACGATTCCACCTTGCAGCTGCCCAGTTCGGTAACTTTTGAACAAGTTTTTGATTCTCCTCACAATCGTTGAGAATGCTTAACCCATCTATGTGTGGCATAGCTTCATGACATGTTTGAATGAAGTCTGCAAATGTTCTAAATCCTATAGAGTCATTTGTTTGTATCTTTGGCCAATTTGCCAGTCTTTGTCTGTACGCTTTCTGTACAATAAATGGATGTCCATACCTTTGGTTGAGGCGTTCCCATGCATCATGGTAGGCATCACCGTCATTTCTGTAAAAGATGCCATCAAGTGTTTGTCGAGCTGAACCTCCTACATATTTCTTTAAGTAGTGCAGCTTGTCTGCAGGTGAGATGTTCTTTTTGTCAATGAGTGCAACAAATGAAGCTTTCCACTCGATGAACTCTATTGGGTCACCTGTGAACGTGGAGGGCTCAGGCATTGGCAGTCTGTTCATTGTGATACTATCCTGTAATGCTTGGGCTAAATAAAGAACATCTGCTTGTGGAGACGAGGTGGACACAATGTTGCTGTTAGGGACTTGAATGGGAGCAGAAACTACAGAAGCCTTCTGATGTGCTCTAGTACAGTCAAGATGAACACTACTTTCCCTCTTTATCTCCTGGTCATAAGTTATTAATCTAGCTCGTGCTGCCTTTAACTCCTTTTCAGCTTTTAATCTCTCTAGCTCACGTTTTTGAGATTCTAGTTCCCTTTTCTGCCTTTCCTCCAAGAGCTGAATCCTTTCTTTTTGTTTTTCTTCTTCTAATAACAATTCATACTCTGCCTCCTTGGCTGCCAACTCTGCTGCAGCCTCTGCTCTCTTTACATCTGCTATTGACCTTGCAGAGTTTGAGTTACTGGCAGCTGAGCGTTTACTTGAGTGTGTCATGGAAGAACTGTAAATGGATTGAGCATAGTCTGGAGTAAGAAGTTCACGTAGACGTGCCTTCACTTTTCCTCTGTCATAATCATCTATCCCTGAGAGTCTTTCATATGCAACTTTGATAATGTCATTAGTGACCGCTTCGCATGCATCTATAAGTCGCCTAGTGTCACTGCAGGGAGTAATGATTTCCCTTATTTCTGTATATAACTTTATGACACTATCCCTTTCCTTTTCTAAGATGTCCAGGAGTGAAGCAATTTGACTGTTTGTTATGTCTCCTTCAGTTGTTCTCTTGTCGTACGTACTTGCCTTTTCCATTGATCATAAACTTTGAGCAGACGTTTTTCCTTTTTGTGGGCTTCCTCCTCCTGATATGCTCGCATTTTTTCTGTGGGCCTCCTTTGACGAACAGAGCATGAAGGCTCCTCTTCCTCGTTGACAGGTAGGTCCTCGATGTACTCTGTTTCCTTTTCAGATGTTTCCATGGTGAAGACAGGGTGATAAAGTTGACCATCAAATCCCAGAAGACGTTGTTTGGAGCCGTGGAGCTGGAACCTTAATGTGGCTTTCGCTGGGACTTCGGTGCTGAGGGTGGATTGAACTTTTTCTTAGCTCTGGTGAAGCTCTTACTCCTCTTGGGTCAAGCTCTTACTCCTCTTGGGTCCCGTTGAATGGATGGTCTCTCAAACTGATGGTTCACAACGTTTATTTAATGCCTTTTTTTTTTTTTGTGAACACACCGTAAGAGCTACAGAACATACAAATAAAATACATTAATAACTCAAACAGTGTTGTTTTCACATTTTACTTTAACATATAAATCAATTTTCTTACATTCTGTAATTAAACCTGTCATAAAGTGCAACATATTAACTATTAACGGTTAATCAACGAATATTAGTGCCGTATAATAACGCAACCGTCACACCCAAAGCAAATTACACATTTTACAGTAAAACTAAATATATATTACATATTAAAAACTCTCACCTTGTTCCCCATCAACCAAGCGCCAACCAACTGACTGTTTACACTCTAATCTGAACTACTCCTTTATTAGCTTCACTCCAACCTGAGCGCTCTCTTTCTGCGCGATGACCAGCAGTTAATTGTCAGTTAATTGTCTAACGTTGGCGTCACACTTCACCACACTTCCGTTTAAAACCCTTTCAAAATAAAAGCATAAATTCTTATGTTAACAAATACTCGTTTTTAAATGAGGAAACACAAATTACTAATAAGGTCATTTACATGTTGAGTTTCCAATTGAAAATCAGGAGAATATTTACAAAATATTGAATTGAAACAGACAATAATATTCTTCTCTGTTTTCTTTGAAGCCGTTTTCTTCCTGAAGAAACATTTTATGCAGAAAGCAGCAAATCAAACTCTCTCCTGAAGAGACGATAAAAAAAATCATATGTACACGGAAAGACGAGGGCCCTCAATGAACAACATGAAAACTGATGTTTTTTATTGGAAAGCGCCTTTTTCTATCCTAACTGTTCCTCCAGTCCATCTGCTCATTTATACATAAATATTCATAAATAGATTTGTGTCAACCTGCTTCTTGCTGCAGTGAAATATTTCAGTAGCAGCTTTCGTACAAAGTCAGTGGTGAAGTTTTCTATTCTGGAAAAAAAAAAAAAGAATAGCACGAGACGGCGGTGACCATGGGTCAGAAATAATGTTGCTGTTGGGAACAACAGACTGGCTCTTCAGCCCCAACAGCGACTTTTAAGTAAAATCGACCAAAACGTAGAACCGAGCACAGAACTGCTAACAACTGAAGGATTTCAGAACATGCGCTTGTTAATATAATGTCAACTTTAAGTTAATACTGGAGGAAAAAGCTGTTTCAATTGTTATATATTTCTTGAGTAAAAGTGAATCATAACAGAACAGAGAACCTGAGTGGAAACTAAACAAGCACAACAAGATGAAGGAAATAAATAAATATAAAGGCGCAAGATTTCAGTTGCACAAAATATTATAGCATCGTTTAACGTTTAAACTTCACAGGAATACTCGCTGATGAAGAGGTGAGTGTGTGGCCCTGAAAAGGGCCTTTGTTTTGTTTAGTTGGGTTTGTTCTTTTGCAGTGGTTGCGAGTTTAACCCCCGAAGCCGTACAGAGTGCGGCCCTGCCTCTTGAGAGCGTAGACCACGTCCATGGCGGTGACGGTCTTCCTCTTGGCGTGCTCGGTGTAGGTGACGGCGTCACGGATGACGTTCTCCAGGAAGACCTTGAGCACACCGCGGGTCTCCTCGTAGATGAGGCCGGAGATGCGCTTGACTCCCCGCGGCGAGCCAGACGGCGGATGGCGGGCTTGGTGATTCCCTGGATGTTGTCACGCAGAACTTTCGGTGGCGCTTGGCGCCTCCTTTTCCGAGTCCTTTGCCTCCCTTTCCTCTGCCGCTCATGTTGCTGTTTTTCTTCTTCTTCTGCAGAAACACAGAGACGAATGTGAGCGCGAGCCGCAGAGTGTCGGCTTTATGTGTGAACTGCGGACCTATGAGGAGCCGAGCTGAGCTGAGCGGCTCCTCCCACAGGACTGACAGATGGAGAACGTTCTTTAAGAAATCAAACACAAAGCAAAACTTTAATTTAGATGAGACTGAAAAGGCAGGTGAATGAAAATCCTCTCCTTGATCCGAAGGGAATAATTTCATCTCCATTAACTATCGTGAAGTTTGAATTATTTGAGATTTGAGAAAATTGTTTTCCCAAAAATATAATTTAGTAACACATTTCACGAATTCATTGGTAGCGATTAAATATGAAAATAATTTCTGTTTTTTATAAATATAACGTAACTGTTTGCATTTTTTCTGATTTTTTTTTTTGACTACTTGTTGCAAATCCATATTTAATCTTATACATGTTGGTTTCATAAAGCAGTGCTGCTTGTGTCTGTGCTGATTTGTGCTCACAGTGATTTAATAAGCTGAAGAGTGACGTAATATAATGACGTGGCATGAGGAAAAGGTGTGAGTATTGATGTGTTGTACATGTATTGAGTTGTACATGTGTTGTACATGTATTGAGTGTAAATCCCATGATTGTGTAAAGTAAGTGCATTAATAAACCATGCAGCTGCGAGTTGTAGATGAATGTAAATGTTTGTGCAGCAGTGAATGATGGGTAAACGAGAGGACAGCTCGTGCTCTTTAGCAGAATGTGTGTTGGCTCTTAAAAGAGCCTTTGGTGAATGAAATGCAGCGGCTGAAGCAGCAGTTTACTTCTTGGTCTTCTTGGCTGCGGCCTTCTTGGCTGCAGGTTTCTTGGCCGGACTTTTCTTGGCTGCGGCTTTGGGCTTCTTGACGGCGGCGGCGGCGGCAGCTTTGGGTTTCTTGGCCGCTGCGGCCTTCTTGGGGCTCTTGACGGGCTTCTTGGCCTTGGGTTTCTTGGCCGGAGCCTTCTTCGGGACTTCTTGGCCGCTGCTGCTGCTGCGGGTTTCTTGGCGGCGGGCTTCTTGGCCGCTGCGCTCTTCTTGGCGGCGGGCTTCTTGGCCTTGACGGGAGCCTTCTTCTTCACCACCTTCTTGGCGGTTTGGCGGCTTTTTTCCTTGGCGAGCTTGAAGGAGCCGGAGGCCCCGGTGCCCTTGGTCTGGCTCAGGGTCCCTTTGGTGACGAGCTTGGTGACGGCGGTGTTGATGCGCTTGTTGGCCTTGCTCACGTCCACCCCCTTCCCGGCCAGCACCTTCTTGAGGGCCGCCAGGGACATCCCCTTGCGCTCCTTGGACTCGGCCACGGCGGCCACGATGAGTTTCGGGAGGCTGGGTCCGTCCTTCTTGGCCCGGGGAGCGGACTTCTTCTTCGGGGCTTTGGCCGGAGCCTTGGCCGGCGCGGCTGCTGCTGCTGGAGCTTCCTCTGCCATGTCTCTCTTGACTCGCTTGTTCCTCGGAACTTGTGGCGCTCAGAGCGGGAGGCGGGACTTATAACACACATGAGAACCGTGAAGAGACAACTCGGTCCGCTGCTCTGCTGCCGTCTGCAAAAGCGGCTCCACTTTGTGTTTTCTCCGCCGACATTTAGCCTCGAAATGCCCCCGAAACAAACACGTTACGAGGCAAAAGTGATTCGAGCAGGTAGAAAAGTCTCTCTCCTCCACGCTCAGCTCAAGTCTGATGACCGACAACTTTCTCCTTCGGTCCAGGAGCCTTTAAAGCGGCCACATTCTCGCCCTCGTTCTGCCTCTTGCTGGGAGTTTTCCTCGAATTTCGCCTCCAAAAACATCTAAAACTGCCTTCAGTTCCACGTATTAATTGCGTTTCTAATAGCAGACAAAAGAGGAGACAGAATCACGGTGAAAACGTCGCGCTGAAGCGAATCAGTGATTTTTAAGAGAAGCGTTTTCCGCGCATGTAAACACAGCGCCGTCCCGCTGCTGCAGGCAGACTGCTCCCAGATGATCCGCTCTAATAAACGTCTCATCTGCGCTAAATATGGATTCAGCAACAGATGCAATGGAAAACAATATCATAACTTTTCCCCTTCAGCAAATATACATTTTTTTTCTTGTTGCCTTTCACATTCTCACCAGCTCTTAATCCCCTTTTAAACAGATAGTTTTTGCAGACATATTTTCTCTCAGGTCATGACTAAAATACTATATTCTGTTAAGAATTAAAAAGAGAAACAACTTGATTTAGCTCGTTAATTAATTCTTTGTCCCGAATTCTTGTGTCTGTGTAAGTGTGCAGAGAGAAAAAAGCAATCATACGACGTCAGATTTAAGATATCCAGAGTTTTATCCAAAAGTGAATACAAATACATACAGAATAACAGACCACCATTTACACCCAGATTATCATGAAGTCAACACCCAATGACAAAACAGAATATTACCTGATTCAAAAATGCATTTTTGGGAACCACTCACTCAGCACCAAGCGATTCGAACTTCTGCTGTGAAACAAACCATTTTTTATAGGATGCGTATTCTCCTCATTTAAATATATGCATTAGATCGGAGGTGTGTTCTTTTCCTTTGTGTGGGCTGTCTTAATGTTAATTTTATTACCTCCTGCTAAAGAGCCCCAAAAGCAGATATACGGCCTAGATTTTCTCGTACCAGCCGCTGTCCAGTTTGATATATGATTGCAGCTGCAGTGTTATCTCTGCCTCAAAATGTTTTAACAAGAAACTAGTTGGTGTTTTTAACCAAGCTTGCACAAAATGTAATGCTAAATAAGGACTATAAGTTTGGATCTAAACTAACTAATTAAAAACATACTTTTTAATGCTTAAAGAAATATACCAATATGTTTGATTATATGTTGGAACAGACTTCTATAGTTGTTAGTGTTTGCCTGAACTATTCAACCCTGAGTAAAGAATTTATTGCCCTGATAGCCAATATACTCCCTGTCTGAAATGTTCCTTTATGTAAGTTTATGTAAGTTCAAAGAGTCACCAGCTGTCCCAGTTTGGATTTGTATCTAAGTTTATCTTAACCTAAAAGTTAACTTATGTACTATTGTGCTACTTTAAAATTCTATTTCGACAATTCTAAAATCAGGACACTGATGAAAATTAAAAATATCTTCATTTTGATGAAGAAAATTCAAATGACTAATGAATGTGATGAAACCAAAGTCCCATTCATTCAGGTTCATCATATAGTTGCTGTTTGGACCCATCATTTTTTCCATGTCAATACCTTTTCATTGTTTTCTACCAGGGTGTCTTCATCGCCACAGTGATTGCTGGAACATAAATAGTAATAAAATTTACCTCCAAGATGTAAAACAATAAAAATAAATATGACGCATTCAAATGTCCAATCAGTTTCGTTTGACTTCAATATGATGACATTGAAACTTTTGAAAAAACACTCTCTGACCATCTATGTTTTTGTAGTTAGTCTAAGAAAGATTCAAAAATCATTTCATTGCATGTAAAAATCACAAAATAAAATCGATGAGGAATAAAATGATTGATGATCAATGTATCGGTTCGTAGCATCGGACGGTTTAATCAGCACATTGCTGCTTTGATAAAGATCAGCATATGTCCATTATTTTGTTTATCTTCACAGCTATTGTGGGAGAGGATACCACGATCCTGTGGTAGGGTTATGATAGTCTGTCTGATGAACTTGTTTATTAAGCGGAAGAATTTACACAAACTAAAGATGATGATGATGATGATGATGATGATGATGATGATGATGATGATGATGATGATCGGTGACTTTGCAACCAGGAAAGAGGTCATTGGTACATCTGACAACCCCCTTAGGAAAAGTCCCCTTATTTTTATCTCCTAATGGCTTAAGAAACTGTTTATGGTTCTTAAAAAGAACTTTCACGCCATTCACCACCTTGATGAATCCCAAAATGAGAATTAGTTTGACAGTAATTGTAGCAGTTGGTGCAACAAGAGGCCCGACAAAGTATTGAGCGCATGGAAAGGAAGTGACGTTTGTGTTCAAAAGATCAATTAATAAAACATTTTAACTTTTCTTGACCCCATGTCATGGTGTAATGTTTGGAGACAGTGAATTGGGGGTTTATTGATATGTAACCCATAATCATTAAAATCACACACACACACAAAATCAAATATTTACTCTGCGGGAATGAATCTATGTAATATATGAGTTTTACTTTCAGAAATGAGTGACCAAAAAAATTTTTTTTTTCCAAAATAAATCTTGATAACACGCATTAAAATAAAGCCACGTAACTTACTGAGATTTTACCTCTAACGCAGTGGCAGAGCCAGAGGGGTGGCCGGGGTGGCACTTGCCACCCCCAACAGAGCCCTTGCCACCCCCAACAGAGCCCTTGCCACCCCTAGTGCCACCCCACTGGAAATGGTAATTTTAAAATATAATACTGATGAGATCGGCAAAGATTTGCCAGGAAAACTGTAATTTCCGACTGTCCCTGAAGGCAGCCCGATGCCCGACGCTGTTCATTGGTTAAACTGACATGTGGGTCCTGCTTGATCCAAAACACATCCGAGGCTTTAGAGTTGAGGAGTTTTGCAGGTATTTACAACATTTTACCGCTCAGCGGTAACCGCTGTTACCTTCCTAATGAGAGGCGGCACTTGTCATACATTTCTAAAAAGAAGAAAAAATGGTTGTGCACCGCTGCGTAGTGCCTTGTTTATTATATTAGCCATGCTAGTGCTGCTAGGTTGTGTTTTAGACAGATTCTTTTAACATATGTTTTAGTGACATGCTGCCCTGTAATGTTTTATATCTCCCAGCTCTTGCTTGAAATGTGTGTGGTAAGAATATGTGAAAAACCATTAAGTTTTATAATGACTGAAATGTAAGTAGGCTATGTCATATGAAAGCTTTGAATTATAACCTCACTAGTTATATTAATTAATTTTAACAAAAGGAAACAAATATTTTTTTCCTTTCGTTCCATGGAACGGTCCATTTGTATATGGACCCCTCTGATAAAGCCTTGCCCACCCTTTGGCCACC